TCTGTCTCTGACACACCTACCCTCATTACCCCAGTCACTGAATCAATCCATCTCATTGATGGTCTTCCTCTCTTTCTCTGTCCCTCTGCCCTTCCAAGCTTGTTGTCCCACTTCACGGACTGGTCACTCCTTGCAATATGTGCAAAGTATGTCAGATGAAGCCTTAGAATTCTTTTAAGTGTTTTTTTTTTTTAATTTATTATTTTTTGTGTGTACCGTCAAATCGGATCTTGTTGGTATGGGAGGAGATTGCCCTTCCTTCTCCAGCAGAGCATCTGGTAGATTCAAACCGTGTATCTCTGGGATTGCAGTGCAGCTTTTTGCCACTAGGCCACCAGAGTTTTTTGACTCCAAGGAATGCCTGGTCTCAACCCTCTCTAGGAAAAATGTCTTTGTTCTTCTAGCCGTCCATGGTATATTTAGCACTATTCTCCAGCACCACAGCTCGAAGGCATCAGTTCACTTTCTGTCATCTCTAGTCATTGTCCAGCTCTCTGATACAAAGCAAGCAATTAGTAAAGACTGTGTCCTGGATCAGGCATACCTTAGTCTCCAGACTGACGTTACTGCTCCTCTGGAGAGGTCCCTGACATCCAGCCTTCTCAATGCAATTTGTCTCTTGATTTCCTGGCTGCTGGTACCAAGAGTGTTGACTGTGGAGCCAAGCAAACTAAAACGACTGTTAACTATCTCAATCTGTTCACCATCCAGAATTATGCTGCCAGCTGGCCCAGTGGTGAGAATCTTTGTTTTCTTGATGTTGAGCTTCAATCCATACTGAAGGCTGCAGTCCTTTACCTTCTGTAGCAAGTGCTTCAGGTCCTCCTCAGTTTCAGCAAGCATGATTGTGTCATATGCATAATGCAAACTGTTGTTGAGTCTTCCTCCAATCTTTAGGATATACTGTTAACTCTAGGAAAATGTGGAGTTAAAAGAGAACAGTGGATGAGCTAGGACAACTGACAAAACTTATCAGTCTGACAAAAGGAAAAACCTGTTATAATACTAACCACATTATACGTAAGATGAAAAGGAGAAAAACTTTGAAGTTTTCCCTACCCGCACCCAGCCTGAAAATTCAGGGCTGGTTAAAAATCATTATGAGAAAAGAAAATAAAGAAACAAACAACAACAAAAACATAGAACACTTTTTTGAGCTTAATTGTTCCCCTTGTTCTATGTAGGGTCCTAGGGAAGTCTCTCCACTTTTTCTGATAAAGTGAGGGCGTTGCCATATCTAAACAACTGTGTGTCTCTCTCTTCTCTTTTATAATTTACTTTTTTTTTAAAAAAAAGTTTTTCCGTTAAAACAGTTTTATAAAGGTAATATCTTTCATCTGTAAATTCACAAAAGCTTGAGCTAAAAGATTAGCTGTGAATTTTAAATCCTACAGAACTACACAGTGAAATACAGTTAAGCACAGTTCTTTAATCTTTATAAGGCTTAATAGCTGCCTTTTTTCCCCCCATGCTGTGGGAGTCCTTCAGTGTTGGTGAAAACTGGGTCTGTTTTTGCACCATTGTAACAAATTGATCATTGTATTTGCCAGTGCGCGCTTTTGCACTCAGTTTTTATTGTTTTCTTTTTTGCTAGGTAATTTTTTTCTCTGTTAAAGGCATAATGTCTTGACTCTACTCCAGGAAGATGCAGAAAATAGAAATGGGAAAATACCATTTATGAATTTTTGGTTAGTTGTTGATATTTTCCATGCAATTAATAAAAATCTCACTTGTACAAGAAAACACGTTAGCATTTTTATAAGTTAATATTTATAACAATACCGAGTATTTACGAGTACATCAATTAACAGCTTGCTGTAATTGTGCCACAAAATCAGCAAAAGAATCTTGTAACTTGGGGAGAGCAGTGTTTGGGTTAATATATGCTAATTAACTGGAATTAGCCTCCCCCCCCCAAACTAGGAATCATTCTATAAGAGGCTTAACTTCTAAAAGTTGTTGTTATGTGCTGTCTGGTTGCTTGCGACTCATAGCGACCCTATGTACAACCGCGCTAAACTCTGCTCTGTCCTGTGCCAATCGCACTGTCTCCGATACATCCATCCCGATTACCCCAGTCACTGAATCAATCCACCTCACAGAGGGCCTTCCTCTCCTGAGCTGTCCCTCCACTCTCCCAAGCATGATGTCCCTCTCCAAGGACCTGTCCCTCCTTACAACATGTCCAAAGTATGTCAGACGAAGCCTCAGAATCC